TTTATTTACACCTTTACTCCTTTAAAACCGGTTAAAGGAAGATGTCGATGACTACTGTTCTTATTTTTCTATCTTCAAAAAGCCTCATCTCGCCTCTATCCTCTCTCACTATTCGGGTCTTTTCCTTTTATTATTATTATTTTTTTGGCCTCTCACTGTTCTGGGTTTTTATGCTCTCCAAGCAATAAGTCTCCATTTGGTTTCAAGGAGTCGAGAGGAAAGGGGAGAAGAGTGAAGAAGAAATTTTTTTTTATTTGAATAAAATTATTAAAAAAGAGAAATAGAGGGAAGTAGACAGAGGGGGTTGGACTCCCTCTAAATTTTTTATTTTTAATTTTTTTAATTTAAAGAGATTTGAAAAGATTTGATTTATTTTTATTTTATATTTTTATTTTTTAAAATGTAATTAAAATTAAAATTATAACTATAATATATAAATTAATAAAATTTTAACTAATTTTATAATTATTTTATAATTTATTTAATTAAATAAAAAAATATAATCTTCTTTTTTCCTTTTTTTTAATCTTTTCAAATAAAATTAATATTAATATTTTATTCTCCTTCCCTTTTTCTTCATTTCCTTTACGTCTCTTCATTAATTTTTATTCAAATATATCCTAAAGCTCACCAGATCTAAATGGTTTAATCATCTCTGTCTTGAATCCAACACCAAATCTGATTACCTACTGTCTACGTCTTTCTTCTCTTTCTTTGATCTCTAGTCTCTCTGGTTTTCTCTTTTACTTGCCTCTCTCTTCTTTGTAATTCTAGTGTGGGTTATTGATGCAATCAATAGTTGTTGGTGTGGGAGTTGCCATCGAGAATGAAAATGAAGAAGAAAAATGGGAACAGAGGAAGTAAAACATGCAAAAGAAGAAAATGGGGGAAAACGAATACGAGAGAGAAGGAAGACAACCAAATAAAACCATTTCTTTGAACTTTAATTATGATAATTTGGAGTAATATCATACATATAAAGTCAAATTTATGTACCTTTACTAATGTTTTACCTATTGAATTGAATGAGTACTTTATCATCCATTTATGTTTTTTTATTCTTTTACTTTTTTTTTGTAGTTGGATAGCAAGGACAAGAATTTAAGTTTGAATTTTTTGCTTTAATTAATTTAAATTTTAAATCTTTTGAAAGTTTGTGACATTGGCGCTTGTAGATTATGATTTGGTGCTCATAGCTGCTTATAGGGTTTTGGGCGAGGCTTTTAAAATCGAACT